GTTGGCAAACTATAGCCTCTGGGCTAAATCCAGCCAACTGCCCGTTTTTGTTCATCCTGCAAAGAATGGCTTTTACATTTTTCAGTGGTCGAACAAACTCAAAAGCATAATATTTCACGACACATGAAAATGATAAGAAATTCAATTTTCAGTGTTCATAAATAAAATCTTATTGGAAAACAGCCAGCCTGGATGGTTTGCATGCTGTCCGTGGCCACGTTTGCAGGACAATGACAAATGTGAGTGGTTGTGACAGAGACTATATGTGGCACTCGTCATCGTCACTGCTGCTGAGCACACAACATCACACTGGTCCAGCTGTAACTAAACAGTGTTTCGAATGCCACACGCATCGCTGTGCTGTGACTCATTTTTTATGACCAGTACATATCCGTCATGTCAGGGCAAGGAAAGAGGAGGAAGGTAGACTTTACGTGTCGCACTTTTGAGACAATGGCAAAGCGTTGTGTTCGTTAGGCAATGACACCGTAGCTGTGCTGAAAGGTATGAGACCGCTCAGTCTGCGCTGCTCCTAACTCACAGGAAAGCAATGAACATAAAATTCAGAAATGTCAAACCTCAAATCTCATCACAGCAGACTTTCCCCACAAGATAAAAAATGAAAACGAGTCTGCCAGCAGAAGACGTTTCCCCATTGCTCATGTGTTAGCCAAGCAAGAAAAGATGTTTACTAGTGGTGAGTTAATTAAATCATGTTTAATTGTAGCAGCTGAAAAAAAAATGCGTCCCGAGGAAATAAACTTAACCCTATTAGCCTTTCAGTGAGAATAGCTGCTTCAGGCGTTGGTGACATTTGGAACCAAATCAGGAGTCCGTTTAAAACAAGCCAAATGATTTCAAGTGTTTTTCCTTGGCTCTTGATGAGTTGACAGATGCTACCAATACGGTCCAGCTGTTGTTCGTGGAAGGGTGACTGCCAAGCTTGGAGTGACTGAAGAATTTAGGCTCTATGAATAGTCCGTGTGAAACAAATACAAATATTTGTTGAAGAAGTTGAGAAAACACTAATTCAGTGCCCCCGGGAGTGGAATCTGCTAAGATGTGATAAAATTCATCATGGAGAAATCACATGTGGACTGGGGAAAAAAAGCTTAGTTGGACAAATCTACAAAGTTTATGAAAATATAAAGAGCTTAAAGCTTATGGTTATTCACCGTATTATTCATCAGCGTTTCCAGGAAACCGACGAGTCAACCATTCGCCGTTGCTGAAAAGTCCGTGCGTATCCTGCATCAGGCCACTGGCTTCTCTGTCCACACGAAGTGGACGCACAGCCTGAAGCTGCCCATTGAGAAGACTTTTCCTCACCAGCTCCTTCCACAGCTATCCCTGAGTGAGGCTGTGGGTCAGCTGCTCTCTGGGGAGGGCATGCACATACTCGGCTCCACAACCCGTAAGTCAGGCTCAGACATTTCCCTCTATGCCAGGGGGTTCCCTTAAGCCCACAGGTATGAGCTGAGAGGGGATGGCGGCACCACAGCGGTGGCTTGTTGGAGAGTCTGGGTTCCCTGCCTAGGTGGCTGGCTCCTTCGCGTTCCCACTGCCCGTGTCCTTGCTGTCAGAGCTTAGGGAGGAGCGAAGGCAGCTGAAGTGACCGCTCAAAGGCTGACTGACAGCTGCGGGCCGCACTGCTGGGGGAGTCTGGGTGCTGTATCTCCGCATCCGCCACAAGCGAGATCTGTTTAACCAATAAGAGAGTGTTTTTTAATAGGTCATCTATTTACAGTCATCGATTCCTAATATTTGTGGATTTATTGCCATCTTATTTTCTGCTTTAAAACCATCATATTTTCTAAGGGTCTCTTTTTCTTTCTGTCTTTTATTAGATCGAGTTTTCGGTGCGTTTTGAGGTTGGTGTATGTTTTCCCTTCTACCGTTTTAGAAACTGTGGCAGACGCTGTGAGTTGCTTACCCATATCCACACCCCACGTCTTCCTCACCGAAAGGACACCGATTTTATCGGCCTTGACATTTCTCAGTCTCCCTTGCAGCTAGAGTGGTTACGTGGTACCCGTTGGTCAACGAGATGTCACTGGATGGGTCTTTCAGGACGATCTTATAGGACTCAAGTGGGTCCTTTTTGCCATCTTGCCTTAACTTTTCCCCTGAAATGTGGTCGTGATGGCCGGCACTCTGATGACTGCGTTGAGAGCAAGGACAAGGGTTATCTCCTTAAGAGGGTGAGGGACGGGGCTGGGAAAACGGCAGCTTATTTCCATGATAGCATCACGTAGCTGCCACAGCAGGCCTGGGCTGTGTGTGCTCTCAGACTTAACTCCGTGTGATGTCAAAACGGATCTCTAATTTTTTGGACTCACTGTATTTTCGATTCGTTTTACCTGAACAGAATGTCTAATCTATATAGAAGTTACACATCTTATTCCTTTCCTTTCTAGAACTCACTTAAATTTTCACGCATATTTTATTTTACATGGTAGAGTTCTTGGAGCAAATCGATATCTATCTCTTCTAAAATCAGGTAAGAACTTTAGACCAATTTTCTCTTCTCCACCCACTGCCTCCAGCAACCTCTCACATTGGTCTCCTCTGAGATAGATGACATATTGTTATAGAAATGTACGTATTTTTTCTAGGAAAATCTCGTTCGCCTCCCTCCTTGCTGCCGAGAAAACTGACATCAATCTGAAACATTCCTTGGTGGGAAGCTTTGTTAATTTTTTTTCCCCCTCTGTTTGGAGTGATGTCTGTTTTCCTTCACCTTTGGGGGGCAACTGCTTCTCTTTAAGCTCTGGGCAACTCGCTAATGCTTCGAGACTTTCTGCACCCCGCGTCTGTACTTCCTTTCTCGGGAACACTGATTCAACCGTGACCGGAACTTTCTGGATCAATGCGCTGTTCTTTTTATTTTTATTTTTTTTTTAACCTTGTCGTTTTTCTGCCCTTTTGTGCTGCATTCCAGGAGGGCTCCTCACATCCAACTTTCCACTCACTCATCTGTACTTCGGTTACTTCCCTTCTGCTATTCATCCCATCTATCAAGTTTTAATTTTAACATTGTTCCTTTCTAAGATTTATAAGTGGCTATTTTTAATAGCAGGGTGTTCTTTCATGGCTAGGATGTCTCCTCCCACCCATGGAGAACATTGATTTCACTTCTTTCAATTGCCTTCTCGGTCTTGACCGCCGCGTCTCTGCTTGTTGAGTTTAGGGGCGCTTTTTCACGCCGTTTTCCTTCAAAGCTTGGGGATTCATGGCTGGGAGTTCATCTTTGTTTTGAAATATCCTCTTTGCCTGTTGATTTGTGTCATGTCGCTGACTCCACAGATTGCAGGGGAGATGTGGGCTGTCAGTAGATGGTCTCCTGGGCAGGGGTCTTTCTGTGCAAGAGGGTCACATGATACCCAGCCCTGCCTCTCCTCCAAGTTCAGTCACAGCTCCTCCCTGGAGACAGGGCCTCTCTCTCGCCAGCTGCATGGCTCAGCTGGAGAGTCGGCTGCTCTTCACGTAAGTATATTCCTCCCAGGCCCCGTGGTAGCCCATGGCCCGTGCCTTCCTGGACCGGCTGGCTGCCTGCAAGCCGGGAGGGAGGCTGCATGTCCACCCTCCAAGATTTTTTAGAGCTCTGATTTTCAGTTTTTTCGCATCTTCTTTTAAAAAGAGTCCACATGACTTCTGTCCACTGAAGTTCCTAATTTTTTAAGTTCTATTAGAGATTTTAAAAATATATAAATGTACTCCTTTATTCCTATGAATTTATAGTGACAGAGAAAGACCCAAGCCTGTGCTCAAACATTTTGACCCATTTTCTCAGAACGTTTTCTGAGTTTTCTTTGTGGTCATGTGTCCTAGAGATTTGGGGTGAAAACATGAAAACAGATTTTAGCCAGTGACTGAACATTTTCTTCTGCAGATAGCTTGTCTTTATTTTTTTAGTTGAAAACTTAGTTTCCTCTTCAACTTCATTTCCCTCCCTTCCCTTCCTGAACAATTCATTTTGAAAGCCTTTAGCCTCATTAGGCTGGACAGTGCATCATAGGTGCACTGTGTGTGTGGGTGGGGGGGGGCTAGGCACCATGGCACAGTGTGGGGTGTGGATCCTGAGGGTGAGGAAGATGTTGACATCAGAGGTCTTCCAGGCGCAGAACCCTGACGAGGGAGAAGTCCACGCAGGGGCCTGCTGGCACTGAGTCAGAGCCCAGGTGGGATTAAGAGGGGGTCCAAGGTCATGGCGGTAAGGGGCATCGCAGGGTGAGGGCATCCTTGGTGCTAACGTCATAACCTGAGCACAGCAAGAACATCTGCAGAGGGCACCCTGACATGTCGTGTCAGCCCAAGCTGGGTGACGGCAGCATTCACACGGGACAGTGACCAATATGGGGAGCGGGAGCCTGAGCTACATGAAGAGGGTGATGGCCCAACAGGGTGTCAGAGCTCAAGCAGGGTGGGGACAGTGTCTGCGTGGGAAAGAGGCCAGTAGCAGCCATGAAAGATTAGTTAACATACAGGAGGGATCAAATAAGAACACTTATTAAGGATAATGAGAGAAAACTTATTAAGAATCATTTCTTAATCCTGGAAATAGGAGATAGAAATATAAAAACTTTGATTTTAGATTGAGATTGAAGTCTCAGTGTGAACTCATCCATTTTAATACAGATCGGTGATAGGTATAAGTGTGTGTGCTTGTGTGTATGCGACACAGATAGTCCCTGCCCCTGTCCACTGAGAGGGCCTGGGGCCAGCAGCACCCCAGTGATGATGAGCACACCCTGCTGTGCACGGTGGGCGACCACTCCACCCCGAATTTTGCTGTTTCTCCTTGGCCGCCAGTTTTTAAGGTTTGTAGGTGCAGCCCCCTTTCCTCATTTTGTTGCTGGTGCTGAATTTGTACGGTATTTGATGTTCACATTGAAAAGCGGGGATCATCAGCCCAACTTCACAGCTCAGGAGGCTGGGGCCGAGGGGAGGGAAAATGGCACGTCCAAGGCCACATGACAGCGGGGGCGGGGAGGGGGGCGGGGGCGGGGACAGGGGTCTGACCGCAGCCGGCCTGGCTCCACAGTCCTTGTTCTTTATTCCGAGAGACCAAACAGGAGAGAGAAAGGGAGGCAAGGAGAGGAGACAGGAGAGACCAGGACCTGAGTGTGACACAGACAGGGCAGGACATAGAGCTCACGCCCCAGTGCAAGACAGAGAGCTGGAGCCCGAGACCTCTGGGCTGCATCTCAGAACCTCTGCCAGTGAGCTGAGGGACCAGCCCGTCAGGGCAGCATAGGTGGAACAGTGCCTGAAAAAAGGCTTCTGAGCTGGCAACGTTGATGGAGATTAGCCCAAGATCCCAGATCCCTCTCTGTCTTCGGGGGACCATGGGAAGGCGGTGCCCAGATGGGCAGAAGGGCAGCCTGACCTTGACCTCTTAATTGGCCCTTTATCATCACTTAGGCCCCGATCCCACCGCAGGTGGCAGCTTTTCACAGGAAGGGACTGTCAGAGGTCCCTGCCACCTATCGATCTGGAGCGGTGTGTCTCTTCCTTCAGTCTCTCCTTACCCGGAATGTAGGGAGGCCGGTTTACAAATCAACAGGAGCCAGGATCCCAGAGCTTGGGGAGGGTGGGCTCTTCTCAATCATGGGCAACTAGACGTACGTGGGTGAATTCCTGGCAAATGTGCTGCGTTTGCCCGTCACCTGCCCCTAAGACTTCCATTATCCACAACCTTGGAGAGAGGCACCATTTACCTGGACCAAACATGAGTGATGCTCCCTGAGTTGGCCACATGGCGGATCTGTACCCCTGACTTTCCTGCCTAAGGCAGGCATGGCCAAACAGTCTCTGCTCAGTCTGGACAAGGGCTCAGAATCCTTGTCCTCAGATAACCTCAGGGCCTCAGACAACCCCTGCCAACTCCTCAGAGCTGGCACCTGGGATACTAAGCATCTGCCGTCATTTGCCCTGACCCCCTGGAGCTTGTCCAACAGAGAGAGGCTGGGAGAAGACCACTTCACTACTTTGTTGGGAGGGGAATACACTCCGTCACAATGCAAGGCCCCGAGCCCAGCAGGATCTCTATCTCAAGATGCAGCTGGTCGGCCGTGACTCTGTACTGGCCCTTGATGAAACCGCGGGAAGTGCAGGAGTGGCACCTCCAGTAGGTCTGGATGATGCGGACCGCGTGGAGCAGGCGGCAGTAGCGCAGACGGATGCGCCACATGCGGACCCAGGACTGCAGCTTGACTGCTGCCCACTCCCTCCGCGTGAAGGTCTCCAGCGCCGCCCGCCGCCTCTTCTGCTGCGCCTCCAGCATGATCTGCCTCCACCAGCGCTGGATGACGAGGACCCTGAGCGCCGCGTGCAGCAGCGTCCGGCGCACCAGGGTACCCCGCCACCAGGCCTGGATCTTCACGACTTCCGGCTTACTAGTGGGCGGCACATTTCGGTTTTCTGGGATCTTGCAAGAAAAAAAAAAAAAAAGACATTCAGAGAATGGTCCCCCACCCACTTCAGCCCCAGGTTTCGCCAGGAAGGGACCCTGAGTCCCCTTCGACAATCACCCCTTATTCTAAACCTCAGGAACCCTGGGCGGGACACCGGCTGGAACCAGAAGACCTGGTAGGTGTCCTCTCTGTCCTGTCTCTGTCCCTCCCTGGCTAATGGACATGGACATATCACACTGACCTCTGAATCTCAGAGTCCCTCTCTGTAAAATGGGAGCATATCTGCCCTGGCTCCCCAGTTTTACATGGAACGAGTTGGCCAGCATAGAGCAAAAACTTCATAATCTATGGGTCAAAGGATGGCCAAGTTTACCTAACCAAGATCCATGACCCTTCCCTTCGGACCCCACCCACCCGGTTGAGAAGCAGCATCTTTTGTTAATCCCGCCCGTTCATCTTCGACTCCAGCTCCAGTCCACAACATGCTCTCTCCCTCTGCATGTCATAGTACTAAAAGTTTCTTCCACCCCACAAAGTTCTGTCGCTCCTCTCTCTCACCCATCTCCACTTCTCTTGACTTGCACACTTTAAATCTTAAGTAACAATCAAACATACATGCACAAGCTCACACACACACACACACACACACACACACACACAAACACAGGCACACAGACACACAGACACATACACCGTTGATGAAGCCCAGCCTCCCATATGTTGGCCGCTCCATTCCACAAACATGGCCCCCACATTCCCAGCCCCAGCCCTGCGTGTCTGGGAGGGTCATACTTCTCTGGGTGCATTATCTGCTCTCTTCACCTCAACTTTATTCACATTGTTAGCCTGAAAAAGAAATGGGGAAAGAAGACAGGCAAGAATGAGCTCATTCCTGTTCTTAGCTCTGGACCATGCAAAAGACACCAACCATGAGCACTAGGACACAAGGACCGAAGGCATCCAAGTCAGGGCCCCTCCTTACCTCTACCTCCTCCTTCGAGATCGGCGGTGCTGAGGTTGACTCGGCCAGCTCCGTTCCCAGCTGAGGCTCATTTTCAGTGTGTGCACTAATATTTTCAGGCTGGCCCGCCTCCTGCAATCAGGAGTTAAGGGAAAGGCGAGAATGAGGGTGCTCTCCCTCCCTCTCCATTCGGTATCCCACACATCCCCAGCTTCCAGGGATTCTCAGAGTAATCAGATGTCGAGGGGGCCCCTCGTCTGAGAGATCGGTGGGGACATCCCCGAAGAGCCTGGGATGTCCGTCTCTCGCTCACCATTGGTCCCACATGGATTGGGTGTAGATGGTTCAAATCCCCTCAGGTCTGTGTTGCTCTAGCCATGGCATGGGTAGAAAGAGGGAAATGGGGAGACCCGTGATGTCATAAGGGCAGTTATGACTCAGGAACCAGGATGGCTCCCAATACCTGAGGCTTCTCCAAGGAAGAGACAAAAGTCTGTGCATTTTTTTTCTTCCGGAAATGGCCAAAGCCCTGACTACAAAAACAACATACTGTCCCATTCATGTAAAGGTGTATAAAGATGGCAATTAGTACTATCTCCAATTAGTAAAATTGTGGATTGATTTGATTTATAGTTCATTCAGAGTATAGAAGAGCACATAATTGTTAAAAATAATGAATTTGATCTATGTGTACTGATGAGGAAGTATATCCAAATGTATTTATAAGTGAAAAAGTTGCTGATCGTTATGACCCCATTTAGTAAATAAAACCATCAAGATACATAATGATACATATACGTTGTAAATGCATATAAAGGGGAAGAAGGGTACATACACCAAGCTGCTACCAATGATTACCTTAGGAGAGAAGAGTCTAATTGCTTACCCATCCCAACAATGACCAGGGAACTCTGTGAGGTCCCCAGGATGAGCTGGGGCCTCCATCTCAGGTTCCAAAGGGCTCCACTGCTCTCCTGTCTTCTTCTGCCCCTGATGGACTCAAGGCCACAATCAGATGGGTGAAGGGCAGCCACTGCGGAAGTTCTTTGCTCTGTTCTTAGCTCTGACATACGCAAAAGACACTAGTCACAGGCCCCCAGATATTAGCTGGGGACCTCCCCACCTCTGCCTGCTTCGGTCCTCTGAAGACCCACCTGTGAGGCAACTTCATGGCAATCACAGAACAAAAATCAGATACGCAAAAGATAAAAGATGAAGGAAAGGAATGAAAGCATGCCGCTACAGAAAAACATACTTCCACAAAGGAAGACAGCACGAGAGGAAGAGAGGGTCTACAAAACAGCCACAAAATAACAAGATGGCATCAGAACGTCCTTCCCTACCGATAAGTACTTTAAATGTAAATGGATTAAATTCTCCAATTCAAATACATAGAGTGGCTAAAGGAATTATGAAAAAAACACAACGACTCTATGCTGCCTGCCATTCAGCTTTAAGGACACACACAGACTGTCAATGAAGGGATGGGAAAATATATCCCATGCAAATGGAAACCAAAAGAGAGCGTGAGTAGCTATATTTATAACAGACAAAATAGACTACAAGTAAAAAACTAACAAGATGCAAAGGTCTTTCTATAATGATAAAGGGGTCAATTCATCAAGAGGCTATAATGATTTGCAGATATACACAATCAGTATCGGAGCACCTAAATATATTAAGCAACTACTAACGGATCTGAAGGGAGACATAAACGATGATACGGTAACAGTAGGAGACTTCAACACCCTCCTTTCAACTACAGATAGATTCTTTAGACAGAAGATTAATAAGGAAAAATTGGACTTCAACCAAATATACCTAAGATATATACAGAATACTTAATCCAACAGTCCCAGAATATACATTCTTCTCAAGTACACATAGAACATTCTCCAGAAGAGATCATATGTTAGGTCACAAAATGGGTGTTAATGAATTTAAGATTTAAATCATACTAAGTATCTTTTCTGATAATGATATGAAACTAGAAACCAATAATAAAAGGAAAACTAAAAAGATCACAGATATGTGGGAACTAAACATATACTTCTGAACAAGTGAATCGAAGAAAACTGAAAAGGAAAATTACAAAATATCTTGAAACAAAAATAGAACCTCAATATACCAAAACTTATGGAATACAGCAAAAGCAGTTCTCAAAGAGAATTTTATAGCAATAAATGAATACGTTAAGAAAAAATATTTCAAATAAATAACCTAACTTTACACCTCAAAAACTAGAAATAAAATGAAACCCAAAGTTAACAGAAAGAAGGAAATAAAAAAGATTAGAGCAGAAAAAGATAAACTGGAGACCACAAAAATAGAAAATATTCATAAAATTAAGATAAACAACATTGACAAACCTTTAATTAGACTAAGAAAAAGACTCAAATAAATAAAAAATGAAAGAAGGCACATGACAACTGATACCACGGAAATACAAAGGAACATAAGAGATTACTATAGACAACTAAATGCCAATGAGTTGATAACCAGAAAAATTGGATGAATTCCTAGAAGCATATAACCTACCAAGACTGAATCATGATAAAATAGAAAACCTGAACAGAGCAATAGCAAGTAAGGAGATGGAAGTAGTAATTAAAGATCTCCCACCAGGCCAGGACTTGGTGGCTTTACTGGTGAATTCTATGAAACATTTAAAGAAGAATTAATTCTAATCTTTCTCTCAACTCCCCCGAAAAATTAAAGAGGTGGGAATACTTTCAAACTCATTTCATAAAAACAGCATTACCCTGATACTAAGGCCAGATAAGGACAGTATAAGAAAAGGAAATGACAGGCCAATATCCCTGAAGAACGTAGATATAAACGTTCTTAACAAAGTACTAGCAAACCAAATTCAACAGCAAATTATAAGGATCATACACCAAGAGCAGATGAGATTTATCCATGGGATGCAAGGACAGTTCAACATACTCGAATCAATAAACATGATATCCCACATTTGCAAAACGAAGGATAAAATTCACATGGTCATCTCAATAGATACAGAGAAAGCATTTGACAAAATTCAAAATCTTTTCATGATAAAAACTCAACAAATTTGGTAGCTAAGAAATAAACCTCAACATAATAAAGGGCATATATGACAAGTCCACAGATAACATCATACTCAATAGTGAAAAAGTTGAAAGCTTTTCCTCTAAGATCAAGATTAAGACAAGGGTACCCACATTCCCATCCAATGTAGTACTGGAAGTCTTAGCCAGAGCAATTAGGTGAAAAAAATAATAAAAGTCATCCAAATTGGAAAGGAAGAAATAAAGTTATCTCTTTGCAGATAACATGACCCTAAGTAGAGAAAACCCTAAAGACTCCACCAATAAACTGTGAAAAGTAATAAAGAAATTCAGTAAAATTTCAGGTACAAAATAAATATACAAAAATCAGTTGCATTTCTATATACTAACAACAAACTATTGGAAAGAGAAATTACGAAAACAATCCCATTTACAATGACATCAAAAACAATAAAATACTCAGGAGTAAAATTAGCCAAAGAGGTGAAAACTGTAAGTCATCGATAAAAGAAATCGAAGAACATACAAATAAATGAAAAGATGTCCCATGATTCAGAAGAGTTAATATTGTTAAAATGTCCATACCACCCAAATCCATCTATAGATTCAATGCAATCCCTATCAAAATTCCAACGGCATTTCTCACAGAAATAGAAAAACAATCCTCAAATTCATATAGCACCACAAAAGACCCAGAAATAGCCAAAGCAAATTTGAAAAAGCATATAGCACCTCGAAAGACCCAGAAATAGCCAAAGCAAATTTGAAAAAGAACAAAGCTGGAGGCATCACACTTCCTGATTTCAAACCATATTACAAAGCTAGAGTAATCCAAATAGCATGGTACTGACTTAACAAGAGACACATGGATCAATGGAACAGACTTGAGAGTCCAGAAATAAATCTCCACTTATATAGTCAACTAGTATTTGACAAGGGAGCTAAGAATACATCATGGGGCAAGGAGAGTCTCTTCAATAAATGGTGCTGTGGAAACTGGATACTCACAGCAAAAGAATGAAATTGGACCCCCATCTTATACAATCACAGAACCAACTTAAAGTGGATTAAGGACTTAAACATAAGATCTGAAACCATAAAACTCCTAGAAGATACCATAAGAAAAATGTTCCTTGACATTGGTCTTGGCGGTGATTTTCTGGATGACACCAAAAACATAAATAACAAATGCAAAAATCAACAAGTGGTACTACAGCCTATAAAGTGGCAACCCAGTCCCAGCTCAACTGAACTCCTGATTAGCTGAAAAAATGACCTCCTTCAGTCTCTACTGCTTTTATCCAGTGTTTGGCAAACAACTTAAAAAATGAGACACATGAAGGAGGAAAATGTGACATGTAATCAGAAGGAAAAGTCAATAGAAGCAGATCATAGATGACTCATGTTGGAATTAATAGACAAGAGCCTTGAAATAACTAATATGATATAAATATAAATACAATGGACAACGAATTTAGAGGAAGAGGCAGACAAAATAAGTAGGAAAATGGAGGACTTTAGCAGACAAATAGAAACTCAAAAAACAGAATGAAAACTAAGTAAAAATTCTAAAACTGAAAAATATCCAAAATAAATAATTCACTGGATAGGGTACCAAAAGAAAGAATCATTAAACTCAAAGACAGGTCGAAAATTATACAAACGTGAAAATACAAATAAAACCACATATGAGCACAACAGTAAAATTGCTGAAAAAGATTTTTAAAAATCTTTAAAAACCAGAGAAACGGGTTACACTATATCTAGCGGAAGAAGGATTAAAATGACAGATGAGTTGTCACCAGAACAATGGAAGCCAGAAGAAGATAGAGTGACATTGTAAAGTACTAAAGACAGGGCGGGATGGGGCAGGGGCTCCATAGTGTAGTGGTTAGCACATCTGCTTTACACACAGAAGGTTCTGGGTTCGCGCCCCAGGTGGAGCCACGGACCATGCCCTGGGTGTGCCGGGGCGCCGGGCTGCAGCAAGCGTGTTGGAGGAGACACCCACCTTCAGAGATCCAGCTCTTAAGGGGAGACGCAACATCCATAGGTCAGGGGTGGAAGTTGGTGGGTGAGGGGCAATGAAAGGGGGGGTGGGGGAGACATGGTG